GGCAAATTTTGGTGGAAAATATTAGACTGGTTTTTCTGCAGTTCCTCGTCGCTTATCCTTTGTGGTCAACCATCTGATCTTCAGGTTTGTAGAGCTTTTGGATTAATTTTAGTTATTAGATTTTCTGCATGAACCAACATCAGCTAAAGGGATCATAGAATATCACAGATGACTGAATATATGTTCTATACTACTTTGGAATTCCTCATCAGACGGATAGATTTCCTGACGCTTCAGGGGAAAGTCGTGACCGGTGAGGTTTACCATGGCAACGTGAAGTGGATCCTCATTGTGGGCGTTGATAAGAGCTGCTATGTATCGCAAGTCAACAAAGTTAGAATTCAGGGGACAAAAATAACTCTAAATAAATTTTATCGTTTTCTGATAATCCTAATGTACACACACACACACACACACATTGAAAAATAGGTATATATAATTGCGACTGTACAGCTACGTGAGTGAATTTGCCGATGAGAAGTGACTCTTCCTTTGAACTATGTCTTTTGTTTTTACTTTTTTTTTAAGTATGTGTTGTATCGTTTTGACATTAAAAATCTAGCTATATCATAATGCTGTTGATATATTTTGTGATAATAGTAACAATAATCACTTTATTACAAACAATGATAATAATTATGCAGAATGTAACTTTCAGTGTTTTTTATGTAACAATTTAGCTCCTATCATAAATATTTACATACACACACAATTTAAAATAATATTACTACTGAAAGCACAAAAGCCGAATGTTAGTGGAAACATAACGAAGTAATATTGAAGGAGAGTTGGAAATTAATGATGCATCTCAACAGAAATTCCTTCAAAATAATCAGTGAGCATACCAGTGTTAATCCCATTTGAATCGATACTTCTGCAAATTTAGCATATTATTTCAGTTAGTGAGAAATTCGTAGACAGTGATACCTGCATTCACCGAGAATATGGTTAGCTTAGAAAAGTTGACGTTTATTCACAGTGAGTCAAAACAAATGACAATAAATAATCGAATGGTTCCGAATGGAACATGGGAGAACTTCATCAGTTTAGTGATAACTTTTCTCTAACTTCAGCACGGGTGTGACACGGGTTTGAGTCTCTCATAAGGAGAAAGGTTATGAGTTACTTCAGCGTGATTATACATACGCCTTACCGACTGGTGAGGAACAGATGCATTTTATTTTGTTCTCTGTAATCATTTTTGAGCTCGCTCCACAACTGCTCAGAGGCTTACATTTATTCGCCTCAAGTGATCTCTCGCAAGTCATTCTGAGACTGACCACCCAGCTCTTCCAATAATAAAAAAAAGAGATGGCCTGCCTGTCGTGTGGCGCCAATCAGCAGTCTTTTGAGAGTATGTCCAGACAGTCTCCAATAAGTTCACTGCTTGCCGGAGTTTCCTACTGCCTATCTTCTCCAATCATCTGATCTCCAAAACCCAGGGAATGAAGAAGTTATTAAGAATCTCAATTGGCCTGTCTGTCAGTTATGACAGTAAAGAGCAGACTGAGCAGCTTACAAATTACCCAGCTGACAACTTTCAATACTCCTTTCACTATCACCTTTCAGTCATTTTTGGTTAACCTAGGAAAGACTAAGGGTGGAAGGAGTGATAAAGAATAATAGTTTTGATGCAAGAGTTAACAAACTGTAAAAGAAACGGTTGACTAATTCCAGATTGTTTCAATTTCTTAATGTAGAAGGTTAGACGGAGCATTTTCTTAGGAATAAAAAGGAATAGGAGGCGACCGATCAAGAAAGGTGAAAGGATACAACTATTTCAAGGTATTTTATGCTTGACTTATTCTACCAATGCTGTCTAATCTGAAAGCATCGTGTAAATATTTGGAGGGATATAACGTAAGACCACTGGCTGATACTGGACAGATGAATATTCACTTTAGAATAGTCAGCCGCGGAATTAATAGGCAATGAGACAATAAGGTCGTCAGCATATTTAGCAAAGTTAATTTCTTCCAAATAAAGCGATTCATGTAGAAGGAAGGAAAAAAGAGGGGGGGGGAAAGAGAACAGCAAACTGACGGTCACCTGCTGCAGTATGAAGGGAAGAGTAAGATTTACCTTCATATACAGTATACTGCCTTCTGTTTGAGGAATAAAATTGCAACCAGTTTACAGTCCAGGGCTCACTTGGTGTCACGGAAAGCTTATTTAACACAAAACATCTGGGAGTAGAGTCAAAAGCGGATGGATGATCGAGGAAAGAACACCTAGCATATTTCGCTCCCTTTGCTTGGCAGGATGTAGGAAAGCAACAGCATCTAACATACATCTAATGTGTTTTCATGCGAACTGCTTTGAATCACTGGAACTTTTAAAAGAAGATTCAAGGTTGAGTTAAAGTACTTTTTCCATTGAATTTAGAAAAAGATAAGTGATAGAGACTAGTTCGAATTTAAAAGTTATACGAGTACATGAAATGGGTTATTGGGATAATTTTATTATCTTCCCAAGCGTCAAGTATAACAAAGCTAGAGAAAGAAGAATTGAAAATGTTAGTAAGAAGATAACAGAGAAAGGAAGAAAGAGTTCTAGTATTCCTCTACACTCAGGTTTCATCAGTGATGCTACAAAATGTCTGTGACTTTGCTCTAATAATTTCAGTCAGTGTATCCTTTTTGGTTTACTCTTTCGGGTTCTGAATGTTGAATTTAGTTTGTAGTCTGTTTCCAGCTTCTTTGAAGGTTTCCAAGGTGGCTGCCATGAACGCTTTTCTCTCTGTATAACGCTTTCAGCCCATATCTACTCTTGAAAGAAATAGCAGGGGAATATGTTTATTAACTGTCTTCAAGAAAGAAGCCTACAACTGGTGGATGGTGACTAGCAGTGGAATCCAGGATAAAGCTCATTTCGTCCTATTTGAGACTCGTCAACTGGATGTACCTGCATGCTCGGTCCAATCAATCGACGGGAAAATCGAAAATTCAATTCAATAATTAATATGACCCGTTGCACAAGAGGTGGCTCTCGTGGCCCAAGTGGTCTAGTGGATAACGCTTTGGCGTTTGAAACTATGGGTACTGGGTTCGAGCCTCGGTGGGAACATCATCACTCAGTGAGAAATGCAGGTACATCCAGCTGACGAGTCCCAAATAGGACGAAATGCGCTTTATCCTGGATTCCACTGCTAGCCACCATCCACCAATCGTATACAAATCAAATCCCCAGACATCGTCGAAGCATCTGCACAAGAAGCCAACAGACATGTCAACCTGAGACCGAGCACTTCGGTCCAATCAATCGACGGGAAAATCAAAAAAATCCAATTCAATAAAGATAGAAGCCGTTTCAATTTTATCAAAAGTCATTGTCTAAACTCGAGTCAATCTCAAAATATTATCATCAAAGACAACAAGAAAATTCATTCTGTCATGCAAATATATCAAGAATCTTTCCGAAATAACGCCTAGAATTCTGGAGCATCATTAGCGATAGAAATTGCACACGTAGACCACATTGAATACTTACTGCACACCAAAAGATCCACAAAACAGCAGTGAGAAGATAAAATCAACACTATCTACAAAGCTGTATAGGAACTTTAATGGCCACATTAGGCGTTCCTTTCGACCCTGAATTTAAGAACATACGAACTAACTGTCTCTTGTTAAGTGGCACGTAACGTGTATTCCTGTTATGGATAAGATTTTGTCTTGATAAATCACACAGTGTTGCATAGTAATATTAACTGATGACGTTTTGAGCGCAAATTATTGCTCATAATCATATTGAGTCAGTCGTACAGCTTTTTGCTTGATTTATATTACATAAGTAAAAGTTAATTAGACATATGAATGAAATTAATGTAAGATAAAGTACATTCGGAAGTCATGTTACTGTTGTAAGTAAAATAAAATAAGATGAGGTATGAGATTTTCTTGGAGTCAAATAAATAACTTGTTATTATGTGAATTGAATACATTTGAACACTATTTATTATTCTCTTATTTGACTGGTGATAATATCTTCCATATCTCTGGCATCTGCGTTGAGTCATTTCTGTTGTATGTGTTGTGCTGGGTGTAGACTCGATGAACCAGGACTCAGAAATCAACCTCTCTCTCTTCACCTACTTATATTACCTTGTGGAATTTTAACCCTCTCCCACTCTTCTGTGTGGTTGTATGTTGATCCATGCAGTGTGATTGCCGAGTTTTTTTTTTTCCAGATTCTTACATTCCGACAATCTGACTACCCACGATCTACTAGTTTGACCTATGTAGTTGATCTAACCTCTCCTAATTTGTCTGATATCCAGTCATTTTAGTGATATATCAATCTATATTATCTGTGACTGATGCTTTGGTGAACTGTCATCATCTATAGATACTATTGATTCAATATAATCTTAAAATAGCATAAAATTTGGTAGCCAAAATTACTATTCAGATTATACACAATTGCACACAATATGTGATCTGCTTAATACCCCCATAAATGATGATCTCTATTATTTCAATATACCAGTGTGTTTGCACGTTTGTGTGTGTGTATGTTTATGTGCCTCCTTCCCTTATTTTACAAGTATTTTTTATGCTGTAAAACTTTCATACTCCTTAGGAGTTTAATAAAACTCGTAAATCGAATCGATTGGTTTTATGTGATAATGCATACATAACGAAGCACTTACCCACATAAGGAATATACTTTTTTTTTATTAATCAAGGTTTTCACTTATAACATGCATATCAACTATGATTCATCTGTTTTTGAAAAAAAAACAAAAAAAAAAACTCTACAGTGAATAAGTCATGCATGATCTGCATTTTGAGATCACAATTATGTTTAGAATTTGAAACTTTCACAACGTGAATTGCGATTTTTTATAAGAATTTTTTGACCAATCAAAGCAGTAATAGCCTTTATCGATCTTGTCAGTCACTGAAATCTCATTGGCTGAAATAAAGGAAACGACAGAAGAAGGATCTGGTAACTGTTATAAAATGCAGGTGATCTTCTCGTCTATATTTCGAGATATTGTTAGGGTCGGATCTGATTAACACCTATTTATCGGATTAATGATAATAAACAACATGAATTTTATTACTGTTATTATTTTGACTGTGTTGGTAATCAGTTTGACGAAAGATGTTTATTGTGCGGATTCAGTGATGTGTAATCGTAAGTGCAGAGTTTAATCTGTGTGTGCGTGTATGCGTTTATGTGAATGTGATTGTGTATATGTATTTTGATTAATGTCAGATTATCCACCGTTGGTTCTGAACATCCGTTTTGTTATCCTAATTTTAGGAGATTCTTACATAATATGCGCTTTTGATTCCAATGATTAGGGATTAGATCATGGAAATTCAGATTACGAGGTGGGACTCATTGGCCACTTGGTCACTGGGATGGAATCCAACAGCCAATCCACCAGTTCTAACTTTCGTCCAGAAGCTATTTTCACCCCTCCCCGCCCCCCCCCCGAAATCGGTCAGTATTTGTTCTCACCCAGCGTGTTTACTTCGTGAAAAATACTAATTGCGACCTCTCAATAGAACTCTAGCCAACATCAGATTTCTGTCTGTAGTAAGTCCCACTATTCAAGAATTAGAATATGATGACAACTTCTTCTCCAGGCTCTAAAGTTTTAAAACCATGAATATTAGAGTACAAATAGCCATTTAAGGTATGGGAAAATTATAATGGAAACTGTATTGGGGTACGTATATCATATGGAGTGATAGTTCGTTAGATAATACAGTCAAATGAACGTATATAAGATGTGCAGTCAATGGGAGCGTGAGATAAAGTGTTATTAGCCAAAGGGTGATATAATACTAATGCACTGATAGTCAATAGAATATAAACTTCATCGGGCGGTTGTCAGTTATATTCACTGGTGTGAGAGAAATATGATTATCGTGAAATGGAAGCAGGTAATTTCCAACAGATGGAGAACACTGAATGTAATTTCAAATGGGGAAAGATAACAAGTGTAAAGCTAAAATAAAAAGAGGTTAAATTGAAAATTGTAATGAAAATAACATAGATATGATATGCTTAGTGTAAACTACAAAAGGTTGTCATATAATATAGCTAATAATTCAGTAAAATATGACTCTGCTGAACTTAGAGTAGACCACGGGGTAAACAATCAGGATGAATGTGAAATTTTCCAACGCAAACATTAGGCTGATCAGTTCACTCTACAGATTCGCATGTAAAAAAAGACACTAAAGCTCCGACTTTTCACTCACAATGCATTGAAGGAATAATGATTTTGACAGTAATCGTGTAACCAGTGAGAACTGGACATCTGTTTAGTCAGTCTGGTTCGAGACTTCTCAGCATCAAGTATATATGCAGGTTCGAACTCAGGATATTCTGGTTACGAGGCGAGCGCATAACCAATTTGGTGCTCTCCGGTGTACAGCAAAACACTGTCACGTAATTCAACTATACGATAAGGTACACCAGAACAATGACATCAATATGAAACATAAAATTTAATGACAGAAAATTCAATTCTCCATTCTGCTGATATAGTCACACAGTAGTGCTAGGACATATGTCCACAGAGATTTGGTCAACGAAAATCCACGTGGGAATCCCTCTATCCTAAATTTCGACATTTTTTACGCAGATAGCTAATCTAGCCACATTTAAATGCGTTGCATGGCAGGGATTAGATTGGATAGAGGTTTGATCATAGATTGATATTAGTCAGAGAATCATCAAAAACAAATTACATCAGGGAGTACCTGACAAATGTTTCTCACTACCACGCATCCATGGACACACTGTAAATTCTATCTAGAACCTTCAGACTAGAAGACGACCACAGTGACCATTCACCCACCGGGACGAACGGAATCCATTTTATCAGATGGATTCTCACTTCAACAAATGTGCAATATGTAGAGCATTGAAGATGATCAGTATCAAAGGCGATTTGGATGACTTCATACTGGCGTGTGGTAACTCTGGATTCCAAAGCACAGTGGCTCGCTAGTCCAACTAAAAGGTCTAACTGGCTGTCAGTTATTCAAGGGAGGATTTCAATTGAACGTAGAGGAGACAGATGTGATGAATACGCCCACCGACCAGCAACAACAACAATAAGCACGAATCACTATCAATGATGGAAATTTGAAGGAATTCACTTGTTTCGCTTACCCCATCGCAGAGTAATTTCAACTTGTGTAGACGATACAGGGAAAAGTGTTATGGGCAGTCGGGATCGGAAAGAGCAAGAATGAAGAACTTCGTTATTTTGAAATCAGTGTGAAAATCAAGTTCACTCAGTCAGAATAAGGAACAGGATTCGAATTATTCAACGAAAGTGTTCGGTCACCTAGTCAGTTCTCCTGTGTGGATCAGAAAAGCATTTAAAAAAACAGCTGTAAAGTTTAGCGATACCTGATGTCGACGCCAAAAGAGGCTATCATTTATTCAGCCTTACCACAGAATCTTCTCCATGCCACTCTGAAATAGACCCTTAATTCGCAGTTTAGCAAGGGAGATTCTATATTAGGCTCTGCTTGACAGATGTTGACGTTCAGACGCCTCAACAGCTTATATGCTGAGGAATGAGTTCTTCTGTGAGTTTTTTGCAAAGTTCTTTCTTCCAGCCATCTAATCTCCACTATGGAGACAGCAAAGACAGCTGTTGCTGGACGTCTGTAGTAGCCTGTTAGAAATGACTCCGTTATATTCAGTCCCACAGGATAGAATCTCATTTATCCTAAGGGATGTATGCTACTTTAGATCAATTATTTCCGCATTGTTAGTTAAACCTGACTGATTTCAAGTACTTTTGAATGTGAACCACAAAAATCAACTGTAAGCGCAATATTGCTTGAAATTAAGTCACGCGTAGATAAAGGCTATCCCGGTCCAGAACAAACAAGAAGCCGGTCACTGTTTCTACGGTACTATTAATAAACAAATCAATAATTATATATACAACAAACCTTAACGGTTTCAAGAGTACAAAGCACAACGCTTAACAGAAAGCAAGGTACCGCTATCAGAGCGGAATAACGTTAAAGCCAAAATTGCGAACTATCAGGAACCAGACACGACCGTTCAGGTAAGCAGTCAGTAGAAGAATGAACCCAAGTAAGGCATGGCATAAAACAGAGAGCGTTTAAGAGAGATAGACCGAGCATAGGCACAAAGATAGAATTTAATTGGCTACTTAACCAGGTAGGAAAATACAGATGAAAATCAATAAATAAGATAAACTCGACAGAATAGTACAAAGTTAGACATGGGTCAGCAAAAATAACAGTTCACAAAATACTCTGATTGGGCTATGAGTTCAACTGTCTGACTAAACGGATCGAGGTAAAAACACATACACACAGTTCATTAAACAAGCAGGGATAGACACGTTAGGCATGGATAATTGGGTTGCCACAACGCTAGGCTGATCCGGGACAGGTTGACTTGATTCAAGGATGGGAATAGAATTGATCTTACATCAACTTTGGCGTATATATTTTTTGTCTGAACCAATATACTACTTACTTATAAGTGTTGCACTGATAAGCAGTTTAATGAATTCTACACAACAACAAAATCCTAGCGATACATCACTTGAAAATATAGTAATGCATGCAAAAGACAGCAAACTTTTGACATCCACATAGTAAAATCACCAACAAATAACTATGTAAATTTAAAGCAATTGGTTCCCTTTATGAATTTCGACAAAGCAATAAGAAGACGTAGTTTATCTGAAACGTATAATGTATTAGCGCAACACATTTCGGACATTCTGATCACACACGTACTTGTCATACACGGTTTTTATATAAGGCAAGAAAGCATGAATAATTACAATACAGGTCAGATTGTGTACAGGTCAAGGTCACAAAATAATGGGTAGGGAGACGCAAAAGGTGTGGATAAGAAAGATAAAGGGAGGGATAAAAAAAGGCAAAGAAAGGGTTTGAAAATATTATGAAGTAAATTGGTCCTTGGTTCTAAGCTGGATGACCAAGGCAGGTTTAAGGTGATAACAAATAACTTTTGGACGCATAAGACAGGTTTAAGTCTTTTAATGGCTAAGGCTTCAATGAATTTAAGTATTTGACCCAACCTTGTCTTATATATCGGCTTAAAGGCATTATTAAAATCAACCTTATGACCCGTCTCTATAATATGCTTCGCTATAGATGATGTTGGACATCTATTTCCCGGGTCAATTGTATCTGGCGATTTCATTTGTTGTTGCAGCCACTTTGGAATGTGTTCTGTTGCCCTAACATGCAGAGACCGATGGGTCCTCCCTATGTACGTGTCTCCACACATACATGTAAATTGATAAACACATTGGGATGTGACACTATCTTTCGGATAATGTGAGGGTTCACAGGACAGCATAGTTTTAGTTTTCTCTATGAAGATAAGTTTAGCTGCATAATAGGTTCTATTAATTGCGGCCTTTAGTCTTTATCTAGTGACTAGACTTTGTTGATCACCTCTGAACGGCAAGGATATGTAAACATCTTTTTTGGGAGCTGATTGGATTAGTAAAGCTGTGTGGTTGACACTTCCATAACGTCTAATAAATCTCAGTGGGTAATTGTTATCTAACAATATTTCAGTGAGATGTTGTCTTTCTTCTTCAATTGTATCGGCGGTACATATACGGTGAACGCGCTTGAACAAACACTTAACCAACGCCTTTTTATACTGTAGTGGACAGAAACTATAGTAATTTAGATACTGTCCAGTCCATGTTGACTTCCTGTAGACAGATCGTTTTATTGACCCATCTTCTCTGCGGGTTATGAGTACATCTAAAAATGGCAGGCATCCATTATTCTCTTTAACATAAGTTAGCGATATACTATTTTGTGCTCTGTTGACCTGGTTTAGGATTTCTATGGCGTCGATCGGTTGATCACAAATGACAATTATGTCATCTACATATCTTTTATAGAAATACACTTTTCCAATTTCTTTCTCCACTAGGTTCTCAACATGCGACATATATATGTCAGCTAACAATGGACCTAGGGGGCTTCCCATAGCAACACCATCGATCTGGCGATAATGCTCGCCCTCGAATGTAAACTTAACATTTTTAGTACAGAGAAGCAGTAACTCTTTTAAGTAAGATGTAGATACTGGTAATAAGAAATCGTTGTCAGAAATGAAGTCACATAAAATGTCAACCGTCTGTAAAAGAGGTACATTTGTAAATAAAGATTCGACATCTAGGGAGAACATGGTTTTGTCTTTTATATTAACGTTATCAAGACAATCAATTAACTCAAAAGTGTCTTTCAAAGAGAACTTACAGAAACTTCTTCTAACAGGCTCTAGTATTTCCACTAGCCATTGTGCAAGTTTGTGGGTTGGAGATCTGCACATTGACATTATGGGACGTAGAGGAATGTTAGGTTTATGTGTTTTGGGTAGATCATACATGTGTGGTAATTGAGACTGTGTGGGCTTTAATGAATTGAATTTCTCCCTGTTAATTGCATTCATGTTTAAAAGTTTTACTAGATTATTTGTCACCATATTTTGTACATTCTTAACATCCTCAGGACCGGAGTCTCTCATAAATTTTTCGTTGTTTCCAAGAATGCATTACATTTTACTTTTATATTCAATTTTGTCCATTATAACTACACCTGACCCTTTGTCTGGTCTGATTTGATTTAAGGTATACGAAACATAGACACCTACAGACTGGGTTGCTAGCACAATCCGTAGTAGGTGAACCGTCAGTTCATTGAAAAAATGACTGGTTGGAATGTCTTCCAATGAAGTGAAGACATTTCACCCAGTCATTATATTTTTGCATGGGACAGTCGGCTACAAATATTGGCTGACGTCCCAAAATCTACAAAACAGTCAGTCAATCTGTCAGTCAGCCAGTAAGCCAGCCATCAGTGATAATATTATTTGCAATGTCTAGCTGGTCGTATTCCGCCCGGAGCTATATTCTCCTACACACTGATATCACAATATCATCGGCGAGTAGACACCTTTCTTTTCTCAGACAGGTCACACAGATGAATGACAAGACTGTCAGGAACAGTTCAACTAGTCTCAACTCCTATCCCCACTCCGATTGGCCAGCTAGCCAGCTAGCTAACTAGCTGATGAGATTATCCAGGCAAAGAAAATGACTTCTTCGGAAAGGAGGGCGTCCTCGCAGAACTGTGTGTTTTATTCCCATTGATGTCTGGAGGGGAATTATTCATGAATCTTCTCATCGTCCCAAATTATTCCTGTCTTCTCACTGGTCGTGTACAGTCTCTAAAATGATCCACTCCACCAATATTCAGTATGCTATAATAGGTGAAGGCAGGCAACCTTGCCTCACACCCGTGTCTTCACTCAATTCCATGGCGTCACTGACGTTTTCCAGTGTGAATGAATCACTTGACATGTCACATCATCACAATCGTATTGCTGTGGTTAGATAAGGTAGAAAAAGGTTCGGAGAACTCAACTCTACGGTACTGAGACTATTTTCAGCGTTCTAGTATTCTGTGATATTAGTTAGTATATTAAACCTTGAAAATCCCTCTTTTCCTCAATTTGTTTAGCTGATTTGGAATGTCCATCCTATCAATCGGTTTTCTATAAATATGATTGCTGTAAAGATGAAAAGGGTGAGGATAAGTGTTGCCGATGGGTCAAGTAAGTATACTAAATCAACCTCTTAGTGTTCAATATTTTGTTTTTTATTGGAGTTGTTTCGTCAGTGGCACAGCGATAGATTGCTCGCCAACTATGCTGGCTGTTTGGGGTTCAACCTGCGGTCGCTAAGGCAGTACTAAGACTGGTAAAGAGGGAAAGTTGGGCATGAGGCTAGCAACCCCGTCCCGTGAAAGCAAACACCACTGATACGGAAACTTCATAGCTCTAGCGTGAAGCCCCATGTTTCACTGGGGCCATGAAGGAATAAAATAATAACATAAATAATAAAACCTCGCCAGATTACTAGCTTGCTAGGCTACTAGCTTACTAGTTTTCTCGCCGGTTCCAAGCCCGGGTAAAGAGGGAGGGTTGGGGCGTGCTGCTAGCAACTCCACCCCTGTAAAACAACCAAATCGCTACAGAAACTCCAACGAATAAATATATTAAAGATTCTAAAAACATAAGCAATAGCCTTACTTTTCGCTGGAATCGGGGAAGTGAAATGACGCAGGCTGGTGAAAGCCTTCGGGAAGCCAGTCAGCCGATGTGCCTTCTTTCGATGAAAGTAAAAGTAAGGATGGGTACCTGGAATGTTCGCACAATGTACGAAACCGGAAAGGCTGCCCAGATAGCCGCCGAAATGAGAAGGTACAGAATAGAAGTGTTGGTAATCTGCGGGAGCAGATGGAACGGAACTGGAAGGTGCCGACTACCTACTGGAGAGACAGTAATCTATTCCGGCCACCCAGAGGACAACCATGAGCACACCGAGGGAGTGGCCATCATGATGTCACCAACAGCAACCAAAGCTCTCATGCAGTGGGAACCAATCTCCTCCAGGATAATGACAGCCAGGTTCAAATCAAAAGGAAGGAAAGTTACAGTCATTCAATGTTATGCGCCTACAAACGTCTCAGAACAAGAGAAGAAGGAGGCGTTCTACAGACAACTACAAGCAACAATGGACAACGTCCCAAATGGCGATATCAAAATCCTGATGGGCGACATGAATGCGAAGCTGGGACGAGACAACACAGGAAGAGAACTCACCATGGGTCGTGAGGCCCTCGGTGAAATGAACGACAATGGTGAACTCTTCTCAGACTTCTGCGCCTTCAATGATTTGGTGATTGGCGGTAGTGTGTTCAAACATAAGGATATACACAAGACGACATGGATTTCACCAGATGGAAACACCAAGACCGAAATAGACTTCATCTCAATTTCAAGAAAGTGGAGACAGAGCCTACTGGGCACAAGGTCAAGGAGAGGAGCAGATGTGGGTTCAGACCACTATCTAGTACAAGGGACTTTCAAGGTGAAACTAAAAGCCTCGAGGATAGCTGGGGATAGGCCACAATGCAAGTTCAACACTCAATTACTGAAGGACACAACCACAAAAGACACTTTCACTGCAACTGTCAGAGCAAAGCAGGAAACACTACGCGGCATCACTGAAGAATCATGCGTGGAAGAACATTGGAAGTCTCTGAAGGCGATTCTCAACGAAACGTGTTCAACGGTTCTAGGAAGAAATAAGAGACAAGACAAGGAATGGCTGTCAATGGACACTTGGAAATTAATAGAAGAGAGGAGAATGGTGAAAGAGAAAATGATTCAATGCAAGGACGGACAGGAGAAGGAGACGCTGGGCTCAACTCACACAGCACTGGACGAAGAAGTGAAGTAAAAAGCTAGGAAGGACAAAAGACGATTCTACGACAATCTAGCTACTGAAGCTGAGAAGGCAGCAGGCAAAAGGGACTTGAGGACACTATATCAGATAACCAACTCTCTATCCGGGAAGAGACCAACACAAGCGAAACCTATAAAAGACAGCCAAGGGAAGCCCATTACCAAGGAAGAAAAACAGATTAAACAATGGGCGGATCACTTCAAAAGACTCTTGAACCAACCATCACCTGCAACCCGTCCAGAAATACCAACAACAGCGCGCACACAACTGCAAGTTGACACTGTTATAACTGTAGGGAATTAAAGGAAGACGTTTTCACCTTGCTCTGTCTGCGCCTGAACTAATCTGCCTGTCTGCTTGTCGTACCTTCCGATTTAGTGAAGCACGCAAATATCAAAAGACAAAGGCTGGACTGTGACTGTGTATTGAAGTGCAACAACGACAAAGAAAGCCATGGTATTTATACATTTTTAATTCATGAATAATTCCCATTCGAACATTAGTAGACAGAAGACAACAATATGGACAGCTAACAGCATTTGAAATAATTTACCTTAATAGCCAATAACAAAGTGCGTGAGAGATGATAATATACCATATGTGCGAGATTAGCAGTCACTACCAAAATGTGTGAGAATGATAATATACCATATATACAAGATTAACAGTAAATACCAAAATGTGTGAGAATGATAACATACCATATATGCAAGATTAAACAGTCAATACCAAAATATGTGGGATCCTATCACCTCCCCCGTAAAGAGTGTAGGACTTGCTTTTTGGATCTATTTGAAAAGGTTTCGGAGCTCTTCTTTGTCGAGTTGACCTTTGCGTGGTACTGGATAGAGCGTGATCTGTGTGTCTGACACATAACTGTCCTTTTTCATTCGTACGATAATGCAGCAAGAATTTATCCAAAATTTCTTCTGTTGTTCCCTCCCCCTTCGCTTTTGCATAAGCACGCTTAAAGGTGTCGACGAAACGTTCAGTCTGTCCATTCGATTGGGGATGATACGGGGGGCTACGAATATGCTGGATGCCAAACAGTTTGCAGCAACCAAGTTTGTCCTGGAAGACAGAAGCGTGCTTTTGACGACGGCGTTGCAAGAGAGATTGATCAGATACATCTCCGGGAACAACGTTGTGTGGTGAAGACGAAACATTAGAGCATACTGAATTTAATGGTACATTAAAGATATGGAGCTTGTCTAACCAGTCAAGACCAAGCAAATCCAAATCATGGTAGTTTGTAACGTAACATACACCATTGAAGTGATGCTCACCAAACTGAACCTGGCAATTTATCTCACCCACGAGTTTCAGTATATCTCCAGAGACATTCTTGGCGACATGCTCGGTCGGCAGAATCTGTGGGCAACCAAGTTTGCGCCACGTAGTTCGGGAAATTACGGTGATATCTGATGCCGTATCCAACTGAAGACGAATACGTTTGCCGTTAATATCTAGTGTTATGTACTTACGTTTGCTGGCGAACTCGACTTTGGAAGTTGTGAAAACGGTCTGTACTCGAGGAGATTGTTTCGGCTTGAAACGACTACTTCTGTTCCTCACCGAAGAATTTTTCTGCGGTGTACAGTAACCCTCCTTATGTCCAAAACGGTGACAATTACGGCATTTATGCTTCTTGAAAGGACAGAACTTGACAAAATGCCACGAACCACAGTGCCAGCACACTGAAGGAGGTTTAGCTGAATTCTGAGACTGACGTGCTGTGTGCTTAACGGTGATCGGAGGACTTTTCACTGTGTTAATCGAACCAAATTCAGACGACTGTCGTTTGCACTCCACCATAGCAGTATCGTGCTTCAAGTTGATTAAACGTAGGCATTCTGCTGTCACCATTTGTAAAGTCATTTTCGGGTCTTGTTCCACAAGTGACAGAAGTCGAGTTCGTATGTCAGTATCTTCTGGGTTCTTCAACCCACAAATAAAAATCAAACACTTGAACTGATCTGATGTCATTTCGTGTGGTTTGAACCTTTCACATTCCTTGTTCACTTTGCCAGCGTAAGTCACATAATCATCGGAAGGCATTTTTGTCAACTGAAAACATTGATACCGAATATTAAACATGGATGACTGTTCACCAAAGATTTGTGATAAAACGGTGACTGTCTCATCGAATGATAACTCACGTGGGTTCTTAGGCAGAATGAAGTTAACATATCTGTTGTGCTCAACAGTACCAAGTTTTCTTAGTAACAATCGGACTTTGGCAGCATCATCAAACATGTAGCATTCAATACGGAAGACGTCTTCGTAACGATTGAACCATGCATCAAATACGAGACCAGATATTGGGTCGTAGTTGAACTCACTGATGGAATTTGAGATGCTTTCATATTTGTCTGAATGAGATGTTGATGGAACTTGAATGGACAGCTTCTGAGTGAGAGCTTCGATTAATTTTAGTTGAGCTGCTTCATTCTGAACTTGCTGCTGCTGCAAGATAGATTTGAGATCGTCCAGAGAGATAGACATTGTAATTGGGTTGTAATTAACACAGTCAAAAATGTTATATAGTTGCGCTGAACAGAATAAAAACTGTCGTCGTTTGCTTGCTATAACTGCAATGAATTAAGGTAAACCCCGTCGCCAATTTGTTATAACTGTAGGGAATTGAATGAAGACGTTTTCACCTTGCTCTGTCTGCGCCTGAACTAATCTGCCTATCTGCTTGTCGTACCTTCCGATTTAGTAAAGCACGCAAATATCAAAAGACAAAGGCTGGACTGTGACTGTGTATTGAAGTGCAACAACGACAAAGAAAGCCATGGTATTTATACATTTTACAACAATATGGACAGCTAACAGCATTTGAAATAATTTATCTTAATAGCCAATAACAAAGTGCGTGAGAGATGATAATATACCATATGTGCGAGATTTGACAGTCAATAACAAAATGTGTGGGAATGATAATATACCATATATACAAGATTAGCAGTCACTACCAAAATGTGTGAGAATGATAACATACCATATATGCAAGATTAAACAGTCAATACCAAAATATGTGGGATCCTATCAGACACCAATCCTCCAACGAGAGCTGAAGTCTTGAACGCAATCAAATTTCTGAAAGCTGGAAAAACAGCCGGACCAGATGGAATACCCCCTGAAGCACTGAAAGCAGACCCAGAGACGACAGCAGACATGCTAACTCCATTATTGCAAAAGGTCTGAAACGAAGGAGGGAAAGGCGTCTACTGACTGGAGGAAAGGTTACCCCGTGAAACTAGCTACCAAAGAAGGGCGACTTACGCCTCACTCTGCAAGA